GTCGAGCCATGAGAAAGCCTGTTCACAAGCCTCTGTATTGACGTCCTGCAGGAGAACCCGGTTGACGTTATTCAGCGGGTCAATGAAGCAAGCAGTTTGCGGGTCCGCCAGGCAGGCTGTGTGATTGGCCCTGTGCCACACGTCCAGGACGTAATGCAGGGTGCTCAGCACCCTGGCCAGATCGTTCCGCGTGGCCCTGCGAGCGCTCTGGGCGTACTTCCGGAGGGCGCATGCGTTGTCCATCCACGCAGCATCTGGGAGCCCCCCCTGCGGGTGCGAGCGGATGTAAGAGATGATCCGGGCGAGGGGGATGTTGAAAGCAGAGCCAGCGGGTTCTATCCGACAGCCCTTCTTGCGAGGGGCTTTTCGGGGAGCCCAAGGAGCTGGACATGGAGCCGCGGCTCCAGACGGGCCCAGACCTCTCCACGACGATCCACTTACCCTCCGAGGAGTCAGGCGCCATGCCATGACATGCTGTGCGGTGCGGTGTTGTGTTCCGCGCCGCTGTGCGACGCCACGCTTTGGGTCCAGACCATGACCGATGCTGCCAGCGACTTTGTCGCCGATGACGTCACCATTACACCGGCAAAACTCATGCCCGTGGCCGTGGCCGTGGCCGTGACCGTGCGGCCGTGGCCGTGGCCGTGGCCGTGACCACGTGACCGTGGCCGTGGCCGTGACCGTGACCGTGACCGTGACCGCGACCCTGTGACCGTGACCGTGACCGTGACCGTGACCGTGACCGTGACCGTGACCGTGACCGCGACCGTGACCGTGACCGTGACCGTGACCGTGACCGTGACCGTGACCGTGACCGTGACCGTGACCGTGACCGTGACCGTGACCGTGACCGTGACCGTGACCGTGACCGTGACCGTGACCTTGACCGTGACCGTGACCGTGACCGTGACCGTGACCGTGCGACCGTGATCGTGACCGGGACCGGGACCGGGTCCGGGTCCGGGTCCGGGTCCGGGCCCGGGTCCAGGTCCGGGACCGTGACTGCGACCGTGACCGTGACTGTGACCGTGACCGTGACCGTGACCGTGACCGTCACCGCGACCGTGACCGTGACCGTGACCGTGACTTGATCCAGCGCCTTACTGGGGCTGCTGGGGAACACATGGGCTGCTGGGACCACGGGGGCTGCTTGGGAACGCCCTGCGGGGGTGACGGGTGGCGGGGGTGCGGCGTGAAAACGAATTCTTCGGGGCGGAAGGGGCACTGGGTGCAGAGGGTGGGGGGCTGCTGGGGAAAAACTAAGCCTCGGGTGAACACTTGGCTGCTTGGGAACAGGGAGGGAAGGGGGGCTCGGTGCCAAAATACTGTGGACGGGGCGGAGTGGCACTTGGCTGCCGGGGGACCGCGCGGGGAAGGGGCGGGGGCGATGTCGCGCGGGGAGAAGGGAGAGGGGCGGTGCGAAAATAAAGTTACTACTACTACTACCACTACTACTACTACTACTACTACTACTACTACTACTACTACTACCACTACTACTACTACTACTACTACTACTACTACTACTACTACTACTACTACTACTACTACTATTACTACTACTATTACTACCACCACCACCACCACCACCACTACTACTACTACTACTACTACTACTACTACTACTACTACTACTACTACTACTCAATCTGACGCCGAGGCGCGTGGACGCATGCAATGCCTACCTACGGAAAATGCCCAGTCAAATTTGCTGTGCACACTGGTGCGCCCGTCCATCCGGGCGGCCTCCTTCTGCAACATCGTCGTCCATTCATTCCGGGGCCTCCCCACCACGCGGACATATCGCTGTACTGCCGGTGTCGAAATTCCGGGGAAGAACGCAAGGGGTTTCATGGGGTCCGTGTCCGGAGATCTCGCCACCCTCCCATATAAAAGTAATTGGTCACGAAGAAGTTGTCGATGAAGTGGTTGACAAGATGCCCTCCGTAGAACGGTCTCGTTCGATACCCTGGACACGCACGACGGCTGGATCCTCAGGATGCCCCGCAAGCAACGACAATAAAATCCATCCAAGCGTCTCGTCTCCGAGGCGTTCATCCAGGCCGAGTTCAGCCCATACAACAACCTGCTGGCAATAACAGAATGGAACACTTGCAGCCTTCGAGAGGTCGATATTGTTGTCCGCTTCCAACATAGTGACAGCGCAGAGAAATCACGCCACGCGTGACCGATCTTCCTGGCGATTTCTTGCTTCACCCGCCCGTCGGCGTGGATGTTGGCTCCCAGGTAATTCATGAGCTCGTCAGTTTGAATACGTTCGCCGCCAGGTGTCCGCAGCGAGTATTCCTTTCGCACGCCAATCACTTGGAATTTAGACCAGTGCAGCTCCATCCCATCTCCACCACCCGCGCGTGCGACTGCGTCGAGTAGCTCTTGAACGTGCCCCTGCTGCGCGCCAATGGTCAGGGTGTCGTCCGCGTAGAGCAGAACGTCCAGACCTCCTTCCTGAAATGCTCTCTGTGCGCCTGGCGATAGCGAGCCCATCGCGTCGCGGATAGCAACTTTCATGATCATCACGAAAAGGAAGGGCGACAGGGGACACCCCGGCGATATTCCGGACATCTGCGGGCGCTGGCTGGACGCATGGCTGTCGTCGAGTACGCTGAACCTCCGGTCGGCGTAATTATGGTGTACCATTATGATGAATTTCGGAGGCAGGCCAAACCGCCGGAGCGCAACCATGAGAGCGTCGACATTGATGGAATCGAACGCCTTCTGCCAGTCTAGAGCAACCATACCAACTTTGCCGTGCTTGTGAACATGCGCCAGATCAACGTGTCGCCGAACCATGAAGATTGCGTCGCTCGTGCACCGACCTCTCCTGAAGCCGAACTGCGTGCGAGTCAAGCGCCTCTCGGCCCCAGCACGTTGCAAGCGTTTCAAAATGACTGAAGCGAACAACTTGTATGTGACGAACACGAGGCTTATTGGCCTGTAGTTGTCGCAGTTCGACACGTCCCCTTTTTTGTGCAGACTTACGGGGTTGGCAGTGTGCCAATCGTCTGGGACAGTTTCCTGGATCCAACATACATTGCACAAGTCGGCGAGCCATTGCAAGCCCTCGTCTGTGCTTGCCACTGCTTGCCAGCACTCGCCAAATATATCATCAGGGCCACATGCTTTCTGAGTCTTCAAACTTTTCGCTGCCTCGGATATCTCCTCGATGGTAATGTCGCCTTCGTCTGCGGGAAGCGGTCCGCCCAGGTCTGGTCCTTCGACGAGTCCTGCCGGCCGCACGCGCCACTGAATCGTTTCGAAGTGGTCCGCCATCGTCTCTGCCCATCTGTCGCTGTCAACCAGAACTCCATAACGATCCCTCAGGCGACCGCTTTTCGGCTTCTTTGGCTTCCTGCATGCCTTGATGGCTTGCCAGCCTCCTGTCTGCAATCGCTGCTCCAACAACTCGGTTTTGTCAAGCTTTGCTTGCTTGCGCGCCGCTTTGTGTAGCTCGCGCTCAGACGTTGCATCGCCGCTTTCTCGGGCCAGGCGCTTGATGTCCAAGAGCTGGAGAGTGCCCTGGGAAATCCAAGGTTTGTTTGCCCGCCGGGTCTTCACTGGAAGCGTCTCGGATGCTCTTCCCATTGCAAGTCTCGTGATCTCCCATTTTTGCCCCAAAGTGCCGTCAACCACCGATGCTTCCACACACCCACGGAAAGCCTCGGCAAAACGATTCTTCACGCTGTCCCGCCCGAGTGTTGCAACGTTCATCCGTTTCGGCCAGGCCCCTTGCTGAGATTCAACCTCAAAATGAAGAGTAGCCGTCACCAAGAAATGGTCTGAAGCGAGAGGGGCCGATGGTCTCGAGGACACGGCGCTGACACGATTCATCATGTCACTGTCGCACAGAAGCAAGTCTAGCATATGAAAGCCGATCTCGTCCGCAACGTCCCCGGTACAGTATCCAGGCTGAAAATAAGAAGCCTTGTCCTCGGCAGCCCCCTCGAGGAACGTGTTCGCGACGAGCATGGTGTTGGCGACGCAAAACTCGACAAGCAACTCCCGGTTGGGAATATCGACTTCATGCGAAGCCTCTCTGCTGAACATGTGGGGTCCTATGATGTCTTCCTCGCCCGCCTTGCTTCTCCCAAGTCTCGTGTTCATGTCACCGAGAATGATTGTTCAAAAATTTGTGGAGCAACGCTTGTGCTCTGCTGCCAGAGTCGTGAAAAATGCACCCGCTGGTCCAAATTCTTGAGATTGTGAGGGGCGTAAGCGCATATCACTCCGAACACGCCTCCGCGGACGCGAAGCTTCAAGCAGCATATTCGGTCTGACACCTGCCTGTAAGACTGTATAAGAAGCAAGCTTTGGGGAAATGATGAATCCGACTCCGCTCCAACACCTGTCTGCGCCATCTGTGCCCGACAATATTACAAGATGACCCTTCTCCCATTGCACTCTGCTTTCTGCGATCCATGTTTCTTGAATGCACAATATCCCAATATGGTAGACTTCCATTTGACGAGTTAATTCCAAAATCTTTAGGTCTGTGAGGCCTTTGACATTCCAAGTACCACATGTCAAAACTCCTGAAACGTCGCGGCCGCCTCTCTGACCTTCCACGCGCAAGCTTTTGTTGGCATGGGGTGAAACGTCGTCCACGCGCCCTCGGCGCTATCACTGCTCAGAGCCCTATACACCGTGTGTAAGAGGAACAAATAGTTTAGGAGCCTAAGGAGGGGGACTTGCAGGGAGAGTTCATTGCAACATCGTTGACGCATCTTGGGTTTGTGCTGGTCCTCCCTCATGCTCCTCCTCCTCCTCCTCCTCCTCCTCCTTCTCCCGTTCCTCCTCCTCCTCCAATGGTTCGCCAGACCCTGTTCGTCATCCTCCACTCCCCCGATCCCATCCTCCGAGCTGCTCCTCCTCGGGAGGAGGAAGCAAGAAGCATGGAAGCAGTTCCTCCTCACCCACCTGCCCAGAGACTGCGGCGGCAATCGGCGCACGTACCCAAGCGCGCAAGCGCGCACACTGGAGGCCTCATTCAGGTAGTCCTTCTGCGTTTGCCGGAATTGCTGAGAGATCTGCTGAAGCTGCGTCGCCAGGCTTCTCTGCACGTTGTGCCTGAATTCCTGGTC